TATTTGTCTCTTTTTCTTTTCTATGCATGGAAATACTTTTTAATCTTATTTTTTAGTTTCCTAGAGTTAGAAATGCAAAAGAAAAACTTTCTAGAACGTTCTTTTTCCCTTTTTTCTACTTTTATTACTGTTTTTTGTAAGTTAACATTAATTTATTAGTAAAAAATTTTTCGACTATGTTTTGTTGCATTTTTTTTATCTCTTTCTTGTGTCTTTGGGTCTATTTAACGTTTTTTTGGGTTAATATTTAGTTAACGAGGCCGCATTTCCCTTAATAAATAATGCAAATGAGAGGATGGATGATCGAATCTAATTAATTACAATTTTAATAACTCGTAATTAGTTATTGTTAATATACGACAATGTGGCTTTAGCGATTAGCGACTGCAATTAAATAATTATTAAATTTAATTGGAATGGGATTCGGTCTCACAAAAGGCCTTAACAACAATAAACCAAACAGTTAAAAAAAAATTCTAAATTGGAGTCAAATTAAATAATAAATAAATAGAAACGTGATTGCACAATTTTTGTTTTTTTGACGAGTTATTAAGTAATTTGAGTAATTAATTGCTGATAACGTCACAATTAATTGGACTACCTGATATTACTTTAATAACGTGCAAGAAGTGCTTGTAAATATGACGTTGAAGTGATTGCATAAAAATTCAATTTCGAAATTTATTAATTAATTAAAATGCAATTAATGCGGGCGTGGAACCCACATCATTTTCCTATCGAATTTACAATAAAACACAATTTCACTTTTTTCACTAAATTGGTCATGAATCTTGAGACAATAGTTGACGATCACCAAACCTTGACTTGTTTGAAAAATGAAAAGAAAAATTCTTCCAAGTTTGTGACACTTTCTAAGCTTGTGTTTAAATCACAACAAGCTCACCTCTAAGTCCAAGACTAAACTTTGAAATGATCGACGACTAATTAATTTATTGATCAATAATTGTGTACTCACACACTTTAATAATGACTTTATTATCATCACCTAACAAAATATTATTCGAGTGTTTGTTTCACATTCATCTGTCACATTCTCACGTCCTTAATAAATATTTATTAATGCCATCATGAATGCAATTAAGACACGCAGTAATGCCAACTACTAATTAAAATTGACACACGATTTACTTTAAAATAAATAAAAATACGACAATTAAGTGGGGAAAAAGCATGAAATCGCTCTCTCCACTCCTTCAGTGAAATTTTTCAGTTTCAGTACGTTTCGCGTCATGGTGCTCAAAAATGCACTTCTTCAAATTGCTAGTTCTCTATTTTTGCAATTTCAGTGGTGAGTAGTTTTTTTATTTTATTTTTTTTCTTGTTGCTTAGTAACCGAGTGATTTTTGCATTGTGTTACCTAGCAATTGATAGTTTTTTTTGACATTTCTCTATTATTGCCTAGCAACCGGGTGATTTTTCGGTCAGATTAAGACAATTGTGTCGAGTTTATCCGCAATAATTAATTAGTTTGTGGGGTCTAAGGGTTAAATTAGATTAAAATGATTAATAATTAGGGAGGTGTAAAAATTTGTTGTCGACATACACAATATTGATTCAAATCACATATTCTGTGCTCAAATGAGTGGAAAATATTAATCAGTGAACTAATAAACTTGTTTGTGTACGAATTTGTGTGTCAATAAAGCGTCTTATTGTAGTTTTCTTTAAAATGTTACAATTGTTGCAAAATATCAAAATGAAATTGTGGGTAAACAGCGTTTAGCTAAATTGCATTTTTATTGTAAAGATAAGTACTTATTTCGATTATTGGAGAAATGTCAAAACTAGATTTAGAGAAAAGCGGTTTTTACAATAATCTCAAGTTTTGGAATTATATAAAGTTTTTTTAGTTGTTGCAAGAAAACAATTTTTTTACTTTGTTTTGTCATTTTTTTTCTTGCACACTTAAACTTTTAGTTTTATTTGTTTTTTTGCGTTTGAGTTCATTTTGATTCTCTTTTCTTTTATTATTACATAGTAATTTTAGTTAGCATTAAGATTTTTTGGGTTTTCATTGTCAACGCACAAAGAAAATTTTTATTTACCTTTTATTGTGTTTTTTCTTCTCTTGCTATTCATAAGTTGTATTTATCAAAACTATTATCCTTCTAGTTATTGTTTTACTGTTTTTTTTTCTTGAATGTAATTGTAATAAATGTAATAGTTTTTAAAATTTTATTAAAACAGTAGAAAATGGACTTAAAAAAAGTCTTAAAGACTCAAAAAAGTGGTTAAAATGTTATTGAGTCAAGTTTAAAAAATAACAAATTTTTTGAGTTTTTAAAGGAAAACGCTTAAAATATGGTTTTCTTGACGTAAAATTACTCGCTGAACACGATGCAATAAGTTAAAATACTCTACGATGCATAGCCTTTAAGATATTGAGTAATAAAGTTGAGAATAAGGCTAAAAGCATAAGCACTATATCCGATTATGACCAAAAATCAAAATTTTTTGATTCTTATAAAAAACTAGTACTATATGTAAAATTAACCGGAGAATACGCCTGTACAAACCGTTTTGACTTAAGACTCATAGTTTTTGAGATATGAATTTTTTTTGAAAAAAATTAAAAATGGCTCTGTACCCGGAACCATAACCCGGAGCGACTTCCGGTTTGCGCCAATAAATAGATAATTTCAAGCTACTTTTAATG